AGCCATAATATTAAACTCATCGATTTCACCTTGCTCTTTAAAAGTTAAAAAAAAAAAAAAGGAGGCCAAATATGAGTTGGGATTTTTCTATTATAATGAGTGAAAATAGCAGTGGATCAAAAGTCCGTATTTAGGAATCCAAACCTCGGTCCTTTTCAAGCCACATGCTTTCACCCTTCCAAATAACTTATGGGCATTAAGTAGGAAAGACTAAAGATATTCACCCATAAAGATAGCATTTTTAATCATCTCCAGTCCAAACTTCTAGATGTTAATAACATGAGGAATACTACTTAATTTTCTTACTAGGTTTCAATAAATACATAAAATTCATGTGAGTAATCACTATTTTCTTTAAAATGCTTCCTTTAAAAGAGTATTAACTGTTTCCAATAGGGCACCACCATTCATGCCTTCTACCTCTTTTCTTAAATGAGTGGCTCATTCTTTTGGGTGTCCTTGTTTATGGCAAATATTTTTCCATTGTAGGTAGATTTGGTTTCTAAAAATGAATTAAAATCATGAGACAAGTCTGAAGTAGGTAAAAAAAAACAAAAATCAACTGACTAAATTCTTTTTCATTAGCGAGTTGCTAGGAATATTGAATTTTATACAATAAAATACCAATTGCATAAAGATAAATGTATCAACCTGATTTAGCAGGCATTTTTATGAGTCTGCTCTTCTGTGGATGAGTGTTGCTTTTTGTTTGTAGCATTGTTGTGTAAATTTGGATTTCTGTGGCAAAGAAAGTTTGCATAGTGAGAAATATGGGTCATTCAGTGGTTCTCTTTAGATTATAATCATAAAATGTGAGTGACAAGGGGATTCAGAGATGCTCTCTTCTGCTGCTCTCACTTTTTTACGAGGACTCTGAGAATGTGAGAATGGCGGTCTCTTATTTCCATTTTTCCATGCCAGCAAACTTTCCTTTTTGAGCTTTGGTCTAGAAATGATCGTATAAACCATTATTGAGTTCCAATAATGCAGTTGACTCTGGATTCAATTGTAGAATTTGAGGATGAATAGATAGAGATACAACCTTACCCTCGTGGAGGTTAAAAGCTAAATAGCAGCCATGCAGATTGAGGTATGAGGGACAGACTTTGAGAAGCTGTCTGCACAGATTGAACTTGCAAATAGGAATAAAACTTACCAAGGAAGAGGTTGTTTTTTTAATCACTGATGGAGAGTTGGGAATTAAATGTGGAAAAGAGATGGAGGGACAGTGCATTGTTAAACTAGTGACAAATTCAAGAAAACATTTCTGCCACAGATTCCTTTTCTCCAGGGGAACAGTTGGATAAATTAAATTTTTTTAAAAATTAAATGTATCATTTGTCTTATGAACTTTGAACTTATATTATTCCTGAGAGAAAAATTCTTGGTGGGCATCATTAAATATTAATCATTAGAGATCAGTTTAGCAGTGATTTAGTCAGGTTGGAACAGCTTTTAAGAAACCAATTACAATGAGGGTTATGAAAGAGAAGTGGAAGAAACCCAGGGAAAATATTAGAATTTTTGCAGGGAATTCTGGCTAACTGGCTTGTTGAGACAGCAATAATAAAAAAAAAGGTTCTTGTGTGCTAAGGATATAATAATTTGTAAAAAGCAAAAACTAAGGTTACTAAAATTGCAGACTCTACCTTTTGAACTAATACTTCCTTTTTAATATTTACGTGTTTGATTAAAAGATAAGAATTAGAACAAAATATCCATCTTATAGTCAATTACCTTGTAAAATTTACTTACACAGAAATTCCACAAATATCATTATATAGTTGGAGGACTAGAAAGTATTTTTTTTGCATAGTAAGGCTGTTTATATCAACTGTTTAATATAGAGAAAAAACTGAAATCACTGAATTTCTAGCAATAAGAGATTAGTAATATAAACTGTGGTATAACCAAAATGATAGAGAAAATTCCTTTATGTAATCTTAAATGACAGAGGAGTGGTGATCTTAATATAAAAATGTAGTATAGGGGCCTCCCTGGTGGTGCAAGGGGTTAATTAAGCACAGCACTATGAAGCTATCCACAGCTAGTGCAGCACGAGTTCAATACCCATACAGGAATGTGACCCACATGGTACAGCAGACCTCTCCTGTCTCACCCGCTGTTCTCCTCAGCAGTGTACTTCAGTCAATCTGCCTGTTCTGTTCCCCACTTTGTCTCTGGTGGGTCCTCTCACCCCCACCCCACACCTCTGGCCTGTACCCTCATTCTTGTATGTATAAATAAATCTTTGAAAAAAAGGTGTAGTATAATTGTTTACTTATAATGTTCCAAACCTGAAACATACAAAGTTTCGGTGCAATATTCAATAAATATCATTTTAAATAAATACTAATTATGGTGGATTAAAATAAAACAGAAGAGGACTGGCTATCTTTCTAAATTATGTTTTGTCATCACTTTGACTTATTAAATTATGTGTGTCTTTTTGAAAACAAGAGGGTGTTTGCAAATGCATCCTTTGTACATGTAACCAGTGACTTGATGGGCCCAAAAAAGAGATGTTTTCAAAGAACTGGAAGAAATAACCCTTAAATTATGCTATTAGGTTTATTTTTAATTTGTTGCTTTTTTTCTTCATATTTTTATTTTCCAAATTTCCTAAGAATGAAATATGTCAGGGTCATATTTTAACTGTCATGTCAAGAATCTGGTTCCATAATTACAAATATAAATTTATAAAAATATGTCCTTTTTTGTGAACATCACAGTTTATGCTTTTATGCCTGTTGATTTTGTGTTAGAAATTTAAAACTATACCTCTTGGGAAGAATGAATAGGATTTCAATATCTCTGTGTGTTTGTTTCATCCTTCCTCTGGCAGGCACCGTTTTGAGTCATCACTATGCCATGTGCTTCATTGGGCCACACGTTCAACCGGGCCTCTCCTGGCCTCTCACTGTCTTTCTCAGCCCAGATGTCACAGGCAAAACATGAGTGTTTGCTCTTCCTCATTTTTCCTTCTGTTATTGGTGCATAATCATGAAGACATTTTTGGTGGGAAATCATTTCTTAATGCTTTTCTCATTCATCCATCATATAGAATCTATGGGGATTTCCAGCTCTGGCTGAGAACATAACTCTTCTCTCCATTGGTATATCTTCCAGCTCCACCCAAGCCTTTAGTATTTCACATCAGAGCTGTACTAGCTAGCTTTATCCCTGCCTCTAGTTGCCCCATGTCAACCTATCCTGAAGTAGTTCTTGTGATACAGTTGGGGCATAATGTATATCCTTTTCTTACCAGAGATCCTAAAATTTTTTATCAAGTTTTTAGATACTTTATTTACTTATGAAATCCCCATAGTTTGTGAAAACCAAAAATCATTTGGTTAAAAACCTCAGGCCTTCATCTTAAAAGCACCTAAACTCCTTTTTGGTGCATGAAATCTGATCATCTTGAACATCTGAGGGTTGTGGTCATGCTTTTAACTTCTTTTACATCCTTGTTAATATTTTAACAGTATAGAATTTCTCCCCTCAGATGGTCATCATAGTTCTCTATCCCATCACTAAAACACCTGTAATTCTCCACAATTGTGCCACACTATTCTGCACACTAACAAGAGATCAGAGTAATATTTGAAAAATAAAAATTAAAGCATGTCATTCCTTTCCTTAAAGCCTTTGGTTGTCTTCTGATTATGCCTAAGGAAAAAAAATCCCAAATCCAAATCCAGCCTCTGGATTTCATTGTAACCACTTCCCCATACTCAACGTGCCCAAGCCATGGGGCTTGCACCATGGGCACCATGGGCTCACTGGGCACCACCACAGGGGTCTGGAACATGGTTCCCTGCCACTGTCTCTTCCCCCACTTACCTCCCACTTTCCTAGCCTCCACCCTCAAGTTTTCAACTGGTTGATTCATTTGTTTCTACTTACCTTGCAGTCAAATATCACACCCACAGGGGCCTTTTCAGAACCTCAAATCTAAATTTAGTTCTTCCTATTCCTTTTCTTAAAGCCTGTATCATAGATTTTCATTGTGTTTTCTGTGTAGACAATTTATTTACTTAAAGCTTTTCTGCTAACTAGATGCCCTGCCCATATTCCTTAATGTTTTATTTGCTCTTTGACCAACACATAGTAGGGACCCAATAAATTACTGTTGAATGAATGAGTAAAAGAAAGAAAATAATGAAGTGTAGTAAATAGTTAAAAAACATTCAAGAGAAAAACATTGCAATTTTACTACTTATCACAGGAAAGTATATTGAAGCATCCTTTTAAAATCTTTTTAATTAGGAAAATTATTTGGTTATGATTCCATTTTTAGCTAAGATTTGGGGAAAAGGGCACATTCATACATTCCATGAAAAGAGGAATATTTTCTGTGTCACTTTTATTTATCTATTAAATATTTGTTGAATGACTAAGAGGATTAGTATAATTATTATGGAAAGCAGTCTAGCTAAATGTATTTAAAAATATCAGATTGTTTTTATTGACCCAGTATTTCCACCTAACAATTTGTCATAAGGAATAGTTCTAAATATGGAAAAGGTTATAAATTTAAAGATATTCCCCACAGTGTTATTTATAGAAGTAAAACATTGAAAACCACCTCAGCGCCCGTTAAAGCAATAGCTGAGCAAAGCATCAAATATCCACTAGAAAATATATGAGTAACACATAAACCAAAGGTTAGGATAATAGAATGACTTCAAAAACGTTAATAGTGTTAATGGAAATAAACAAAGAGTACAAAGTTTTATAACAATGTTTACAAATCTGATCCACAGGAAAAAAAGACTGGAACAAAATATGTCAGGCTGTTATGACTACAGGTGGTTTCCTTTTCTTCAGTTCCATATTTTCTTTAATGTGCACTTATTTTTTACAAAAGTTATAATTGTATTAAATCATGATGTGGCATTGCTGGGATGTTGGGGTTCCATTTTATTTTCAGTGCATTTAAAGGAATCCTGATCCTTGCATGTTGTAATCCTTTTACTGAAATCTGTACTTTTTTTCAGGGTGACAGAAGCTTTGCTGAAAGTTGCCATGTTCATGGGTTAGATCATTCAACCTCTTGGCAGGATCAGGGTAGCTTCCTGTCTAGTCCACGATTTTCACACTTAAACTGTAAGTAATGAAGTCTTGTACCAGTTTTTAAATTGGATTTTTTAAAAATGCAACTCATGGAAAAATTAAAGTGGACAGCCAGAACATGATAGTAATATTCATGTTGTGGGCTTGAAAAAATTCTCCTTATGAAACATACAATTAATGTTCCCAAGGTCATTTATAATATTACCCCATTTTACTGAAAAAATGATAGAATCCCTTCTTTTTAAAAGTTTACACTTCTCAGAAGAACTTAAAATGAATCACCCGCAGTAATTTTGGATGAGTGGGCAAATGCATTTAGATGGTATTAAAATAAAATTCAAATCATCAAAGAGCGATAAGTCTTTGCATAGAACTATGCAGAAATGCCTAAACCTGTGCAAAGAATAAGGATACTAATATTAATTCCAGCTGTATTTCATTCTGTGAATATAGTGTAAACGTTAAAATGCCAGCAACATTAGCAAGTTGTGAATCCGTTGACCCAGGATACCATCACCTTCCATCTCCCATCTCTTCCCTACTCTACTTGTATTACAAGCTTCAGCTCTATGTTACATCCATAAACAAGCCTTCATAACCTACCATTTTAAGTATGGTTTCTGTTATGAGAACCCACACATATTACCTTTTCCCTTTAAAACCCTTCTCAGAACAATTAAGTAGTTATTTGTTATTTGAGCAGCTTTTTATTTACTTCTTCTTCTCTCTCTCAAGAATGAACTCTGTGATGATAGGGATGATGTCTGTTTTGCTCACCACCGTTTTTCGGCTTCCTTCATAGTAATTGGTCCCTAATAAGTACTCAATTAATGTTGACTGAATGAGTATATGAGCTGTTTAATTTCACTTTTGTCCGAATATTATTTCATGGATTCACATTTAGGTAGCCATTTAGGTCTTCAGTTTAGCATAAGCATAGGGTCTTGTACATTAAATTTGACAACTCTGTCATTTTAAAAAGGTAGATTGCTATAGAAGAAAATAGCAAAATAAGCCACAAGGAAGTAGGTCAAATTCAAAAGTGATAACTCTCATTTTTGCTGATTTATATTCATGGATTCATTGAATAAATATTTATCAGTTTCTGATAAATGTTTTGGTTTTTATTATATCATGATTATTTTTATTCCAAAAGCAAAGCATTTTCTCTTTCCCATCCTAACTATTTTACCAACTGATTTTATATATCTGCATAAACCCTCTGCTTTTCTAATCTGGCAGTCGTCCTTCAGTATGGACCATATGTCAAGTTAGTTATTGTAACTCGGAATCTCATATACACATAGGCCAATTTTTAAATTTTTCATACTAAACAGTGGAAAACTTTCTTCAGTTCTGTCTGATATATGTAAACATAAAGGAAGAAAGTAGGGGCAAAGCACCACTAAACTTCATAGCATCCCATCCATTAAGATATTCAATAGCTTGGAGATAAACAGAGCCATTGTGTGAGCATGGAGCTCACAGTTCTGCTAATTAATTTTGCCATGACTTTTATGAGATATCATAGAAAGTCACCTAAAAGGAGATGGTCCAAAGACATTGGGTGGGATTGGGGGGTGGAATCAAGATGTTTGGAATTTTATTTCATATTTTGACAGGCATTGAAAGAAACTATCTGCCTTCCCACTCAGTAGCATTTCATGAACACCTGTGGTCATTTCTCTAAGATATATTTCTCACAGGAAGTCATAGGTTTCCATATAAATACAACGAGCAAAAGGAAATAAAGTTAACTGAGGCTAGGAAAATATATTGAGAACATAATCTGAATAGGAAAATACTTAGTATAGTCAGTATTTAAAAACTCAGTGCAAAATTTCACTTAAAATAAACATCTTTATTAATTTGTTGATAAATTTACTATTAATAATTACTGCTTCCTAGATATATAGTTTTTGACTAGTTTTGTTTTATGATCTTCCCCCCAACACCCATTTCTGTGTTTTCAAGGATATATTTTATAATTTTTTTTTTTTTTATTTATAGAGGCATGTTTTTATTTATTTATTTATTTGTTTGTTTATTTGTTTTGTTTATACGTGCACTGGGTACAGTCAGAAGCGCGGGAGGGTAAGAGAATTCACCAGAGCCAGAGCGGGGAGCAGAGCAGGCAGAAGGACCAAAGTACACTGCTGAGGGGAGCAGCGGGCGGCAGGAGAGGTCTGCACGCCATGTGGGACCCTCCTCCGGTGGCCGGGGAGCAGCCGGGGATCGAACCGGCGCTGCAGAGGTCGCCGGCAGCCTGGCAACCCAGCGCTCAACCGCTGCGCCACCGGGGAGGCCCCTATATTTTATAATTTTAATAAGTACCTTGTTGTTAATCATTTTAAGTGGTTGAATTAAACTTATTCTAGAAATATTCATTCTTTTCTGCTTCTGATGAACCTTGAATTTTCTATCTATTTTTCACAATGTGGTATTTTAGAAGTGGATTAGGGTTACCAAATACATCTCCATATTTGTAGCATAAAATTTATTTTACCTTAGCTGTAGAAATTGTCCTATAATTTTTCTTTATACTCTAACATTAAAAAGGAGAGCTATAAGAGCCAAAAAAGAAAAAAAATGGAATGTACAGCAAACTGATGATATAGAGAAAAGAAAATGTCTTTTAAAATATCAATAATACCCTTAGAGACGTAAGAAAAACTCTCATGTACATTGAAAATAAGAGCAAGATGCAATGAAAAGTAAATACAAGATAGAGGACAAAGAAATTTAAAACATGACAAGATACAAAGGTATCAAAGTTGAGAAAATCACAAAAAGTAGAGGAAAAAGAAGTGAAACAGTAGATATTTAGAAAATCAATTCAAGAGGGACAATACATAGTGAGACTCTTAGGAACAGAGGAGAAAAGTATGCAGAATTAAAAGCCCCACCCACCAATTATCTGCTGCAGAGCAGTAATCCTGAGATTTTTTTTCTTCACCCCCTCTCTGCTCTGATGGCCATGTTTCTCAGAATCCATGCCTTCCTCTTGCTCATTCCAGTCTTTTTGTAGGAGCACATCAAAGAATGGGAGGTAAATGGTTTCAGTTTTTGTTTATCTAAAAGCATATTTCTTACACTCACACTTGACTGAGATTTTGGCTAACTATAAAATTCTAGATTGTAAATGATTTTCCCTCTAAAGCTGTTGCAGAGTTGTGTTGCACAACCCAGTGTTGCTGTTAGGAAATCTGTTTTCTTGTTTTGACTCCCACTCCTTTGAAATGATCACTACCAGTAGCTCCCCATCCCTACCCTTGGCCCTGGGAACTTTTTCGGATCTTTGTAACCCCCGTGAGTTTTGTGATGATTTGCCTCCTTGCAGGTCTTGTTTTATTCACTTGTCTCACAATTTGCCAGGTAGGTCCTTTTAAACTTTAATTTTCTCATTTGGAAGGAAGAAAGGAAAGATTCCATCAGCAAAGTCTTTAGAAATTAAATGAAAACTGATAACTATTATCTGTTTCAGCTCAGCAATTGGAAAGAGAAAAAAAAAACTACTAATGGACATAAAGCAGATCTAGCCAAGCAATGAGAAATTATTAAGGATGGTCCTAGGAAAGAGCCAATTATAAATAAACAAATAAATAAACAAACAAACAAATAAATAAATAAAAACACAGCTCAGTTAATAACCCCAGAGGGAAAAAATGGGCAAGAAAAGAAGCATAATCATAGTATACCAGTTAGGTTGTGTGAGGCATGTTTGTGTAGTGATATTAACATAAACACTATTGACATAACTGGAAATTGAGATGTGACTATACTGGGAGGATGGCATGATGGGAAGTGGATGAGTGTGGCTAAATTTAAAGGTAACCATTTAGGAAATAGCATTATTAGCTTCTTTGTCTCACAAAAATTAAAGTATAGAAAATAGAGCTAAAAGAGTTTATTGTGGTTGACTCTGGGGAGGAGAATTGTGGGATTAGGAGGGATGCTGGCTTTCTTTGGTATTGTTTGATATGTGTATGTCAGCTTTGGCTGATAAGGATTCTTATAAAAATAATGTGTTTGCCTAAGAAAAGCCCAGTTTTTAATGTCTGACTAGCAAGTGTTGCATTTTCTTGTTAACTTCTGAATGAAGCATGAAAACTGGACTTTTCATCTTAGAGCAGTTTAGGTCTATATGAAGACTTGAGAAGTTGATAGCTGTAGGTCCTGAGTAGACATGAGTTTATGAGCCTGCAGAACAGGATCCTTCTTACTCACGTTCAAATTTGTACTGGATGAAACCCTTTTGTCTATGCTGTAGACGCTAGGACATTCATTCTGCTGACTTAGGTGCCCTGTCAAACTTTGACCAAGTGAAAGTGTAGAATCACTGACCATGGAAAAAACAAAGGAAATGGGAAAATACTGCATAATTTGTGGTCTCTGAAATGATCCAGCATTAATGAAAGTTTGTTTTAAGTAGTAATTTATGTCAGCTTTGTGTAGTTCAGGTCAATTCAAGAAAAGGTAGATTCCTTCTGCCAGGAAGAAGGGAAGAAATGTATAAATTGTAAGTTTATATTGCCATTGGAAATAGAAACACAGAAATCCATTATTTAGAGCCATGATTACTACAAATTTATCCTGGCTAGCTAGAAGTTATGGCTGTGATTCAGGACCCTCTTTTAGAAGACTTGGATTGCATTACCTTGAGCCTTTAGACAGTGGGGGCTTAGTAAAAGAGACTCATAATACCAGCTTTTGATACTCTCATTTTTGCTTTTATAAGTAGTGACTGACCGCTCGTCTCCATGTATAACTCCTTTTAGGCTAAAGGCATACAACTTGAGGACAGGGCCTTCACTCCTGGGGCTAAGACCAGTCCAAATTTGAATGAGGTCTGTGATATTCTGACAACTTCTCATCAGATTTCTTTGAGAAATCTTGTTGTTTGCAGAGTTTGTGTCTCTAAATTAAATTTTAAAAATAACTGCAAATTGCAAATTTTCTGAAACTCTAAAACTGTTTAAAACAATTTTTTTAAAGATAAATGATAGGTTATCCCAAAAAGAATGAACTGTGATTTTTCACAGGGATGAAGCGTTATCTAAGGATTATTATGAGAATTAGAAATTATTCTTACATATAATTTTAATTTGATATTCTCAGAAAGGCAAATCGATGAAAATTGCTTAAAAAGAACTTTATTGTATTTCCTTACCTCAGTTTAGATTGCTATAAAAAGAAAACTTAGTATTTTCAATGCTTGTTTTTAGGTGCCTTTAAGTAGGTGTTTAAGTCCCTCCGATGAAATATAGTTTATTCACAGCAAGAATAGCACACTCTTTTCACTTCAAAATTGTATGTCAGGGTCTACCCAGCTAACTAAATAGACTCTTTCATATGTAATTTAACCTCAAACTTATAGAATAGATGCCAAAGATTTATGGGACTGAAAACATTGGTCTGCTGCTAAGATAAGAACATTACTATCTCTTAAAAATCCCTAAGTTTATTTCTTGTTCAAGTCATGTTTCCTAGGAGGCTATGAGCGAGGCTTTCTGACTCTGGGAGTGTGGTAGTGAACAAAACACAAAAAGTCACCAGATTTCAGGAAGAGATAGGTAAGCAAGTAAGCAATTTAACACAATGCTTCCAGCCATGAAGATGAAATGATGCAAAGTTCCTGGAACAGGACTGCTGCTGTAGATTGGTCATCTGCTATGACTTTCTCAAGATGGACCTGAAACCTGGATGGCAAGAACCAATTGACTTAAAATTGGCTGGGAAGAGTTTTCTGACACTGGCAGTAAGAAGAAGCGAGAGAAGAAAGTGGCGTGGTCTGCCCCTCAGTGAGAGAGTTAATAGCGGGTGGAGGGTGAGGTCTCAAGGGAAACTTTTCAGCCACAGTCATATTTGTATTTTATTCTAAGTTCACTGATTGGTTATGGGTTGGGTTGGGTGGGGAATGAGGGCGTTAGACAGGAGAGTGACATGATTTATCTTTTAGAAAGATAAATTGTGTTGTGATGTGGAGAATGGGACAAGATGAAAACAGGAAGAGAGAAAATGATAGCCTTACCAGAGTGATGGTAATGTGAAGCTAAAGGGCTCTGGTGAATTGGGGAGGTAGAATCACTACAACTTTACTCTTAAATTGAATGAGGAGCAGGCGGAACTAAAGAAGAAGGAAACCAAGGTTAGAGAAACTGTGCAAAGGGGTACAAGATAGTTCCAATTTAGGATTGTTCAATTTACAGAAGTGATACACTTGGTTCTTGGATGATTTTGCCCAACTGCAGGCAGTGGCAGATGGGACTCTGGGCACTTGTAAGGTGCCATGAGCTCAGGGCTAAAGTTTGGCATATCAGGTGTGTTAAATGCATTCTATACTTACTACCCACTTACTATAGTTTTATTGGATTTTAACATTATTGTAAATTGAGGAACATCTGTGTATCATTTCCAAAATTGGAAAAGAGTAAGGGTTGGGCAGACATCAGAGATTAAAAATCAGGCAGAAAGATTTCTTGCAGATAGTTGGATATAGGTCCCTGGAGCTCGGAAGAGAGGTAAGAAGTAGTAGAAACAATAAACCTGGATTCCCGCTTCTTTTCTGTAACAAAGGAGGTGCTTCAGATTTTTCTCTCCACAGTTCTGTGTGCTTTGTATTCTTGTATCCTGGCCAAGCATACATCTTCCACTTTCAGATACTCTTCAAAAAAAAAAGAAAAGATAGGAAAGTTTTTATTAAAATAAACTGATTTGTTTATTCCTGCACTGAAGGTCTATCAGTCCATGTAAAGTTTACAGATAATGAGATAAAAAACAATGATTACTGCTGATTTTGTCATTCCAGGAATTATATTCATCTAGGTTTATTTTTCTTTTTTATATTGCCAGCATTTACTCAAAGAACCTTTGCTCCAGATTCATCGTTAAACAAGGAAGATGCCTCAAGTTTACCAATGGATGGAACAAGTCCACTGTACAAAAAGGAAGAATATGAAAGCAAAAAAAGCAAAATGTAATGAGTTGCTTTATATGAGTGTTTCACAAAGAGCAGCATATCTGTCACTGCCCAGTTTGGCCCACATTATCTAGCAGTCGTGTTTGTAGCTTCTGCTCTTTAGCATTGCCAAACAGAGATAGCGATACAGTTGGTCTTTGTGAATGATATAAATTAAACAAATCCAAATAATACCAATTCATGAGTGATATGCAACTCACTTATTCTCAATTTATGCCAGTGGAGTGGTATTCTTTACTTTGCATTTTCCGTTTTCAGGGGCGATCAGTCACGGTTTGGGATGTATAATTGAGGCCTTTCAAAAATGACTGTCTGAGAAGGGGGAGAAATGAGTTCCCCTTGAGGCAGAAGTTGTCAATACTTTAAAGTCAAGGAGCATTTATATACAATTGATCTTTAAAAAATGCTTTCTGTCTAATAAATTATCATGTGTTACAACATGTCATGGAGATATGCACCTATACCACTAGTCCACTTTATAAATGCTCAGGAGTGTTACCATCCATCGTTTCACAGTCTGTTACTAAAAGCAGTATCTTAGCTATTTCCAAACATCCATTTGTAATAACAGTAAAGAATTACAAACGATACCTGAATTGTAGAGCACTGTAAAGAGTTTGTAGCACAATTCACTAATTTATCTTTTTGTGGCCAAAGAGCCCACCATGTTAATTCTAGTCATATCATGGACTATCTTTGGTTTGCTCCGACCAAACCCATGTCCCTGAGATTTACTCTGCAAGAGTTCTCATATAATTGGATATTACCTATTTACTTTCAACACCTCAGCTTTTCTCAACATCAAAGCATTTTTAAGAATGTACCTTCTTTACATGCTGATCTACTGGTAAGGAAAGATTTCGCTGAAGTGCTCAATAACAGTCAACATCCAGAAATGGAATACCCCTGGGCCATGGTGGAGGGACCCTCCCCACTGCCCCCACTCCCCACCACACAGAGATAAGGACAATGAAGCCACACCTTCATGGTGTGATCACATTCTGTGTTTGTTAAAGTGGACTTACTTGTTCAATTTCTCACATTTCATAAAGATCCTCCTATTTCCACTCAAAGTATGTTTTCCTAACTTTCCATACTTGAATGTACAGAAGAAGAAATGGCACTCACTCTTCCCATGAATTCGAATGCAATGGTTACTTCAAAAGACACAAGTGCTTCATATCCAAAAAATTACACAATACAATATACATAAGTTCTGACAGCACAGGCATGCCTTTTACCATTTCTTCATTCTAAAAAAAAAAAACCTTTTGAGTCTCTGCTATAGGCCAGTCATTGTGCTGGATGGGAAAAAAAGGAACATAAAAACAGGTGTTCGTGTCCCAAAAGTTTTTTGACGTGAGGAATTACAAATAAAGGGGTGATGTGTTTGGGCTAGCTGAAGAAATTCTGAACTGGACAACATTAAACAAGTTTTGTTTTGCTTTGTTAACCTCAGGACTTAGAGCTGTTAATGTGCTAATAATGAGCATTATGAGGTTTTACTGGGAGTAGCCCCTTTTTGAAGGAGCAACTCATAATCCTGGTATTTCTCATAACCTGTAGGGCTCCATAGTAATATTTTCATTGACATTGTCACCCACACTATAACATTTCATCAGGAGAAAATAAGGGAGCGAATGAACAGGTTTTATTTAAATCCTATGGAAAAAATTAAATAGCTTTTCCCTTAATGTATTAGGAGAAACTACACGCAGCATATTCTGTTTAATAGAAACTGATCTAAGCCATTATTAGTGCATCTTTGGTCATTTAAAAAAAAGAAAGAATTATGACAGGCCAGTTAGGCCTGACAGTTAAAGGTAACTCAGATTACCTTGACTATATATTAACTGATGATTTTATAACAGAATGGAAAGGAATGTTACAAAGGACCTTTTCAAATCTGAAAAAAAGAATAAAGCCATTATATCATGGTATTGAAGGCCCGATACTTTAGGTGTCTGACTTTAAGTAGGAACACCCAAGGACTTCAAAGGCAAAGCCATTTTTTTTTTAACTATATTGTATTTTTTTTTTAATTAAGGTAACATTGGTTTACAACACTGTATAATTTAGGGGAATTAGCTCACACTTCTTTCGATCAGCATCACCACACCACCCACCACCCACCAGACTACTATTAATCCTCCGCCATGACCCTTGGGTCCCCTCCCCTCTGTTCCTCCTGTACCCTCCCCTTCTGGTAGCCTCCATTCTGAGTCATATTCCTATAGTTTGTTTGGGTTTAGTTTTGTTTGTTCCTTTGTTTTGTTTCTCTATATTCACATATGACTGAAATAATCTGGGATTTGTCTTTCTCCCTCAAAGTCAGCTTTTTATGAGCAACAATTTTGTCAAAGTTCCTTGGTCCTCTGTTTATATGGAACTAAATCCAAGGATCTGTCCCCTCTGAGGATTTTTCCTATCTCTTGCAGTCACCATAAACTTGAGTTGGAAATCACAAGGAATGCTAAGGAAACACTAATAGCTTGATTTTTACATTTCAAAGCCTCTGATTTTCCTTTACTCACCCCTTTGGCAGGAGAGTGTGATATCAACCCCATTTGAGTTGTGGCTGGTCAGCCATATTCCTTGTAGCACTGGGACATTGGAAGGGATAAACTTGTTCTTAATAATGAGCCTGGTCCAAAACTTAATTTGAAGATTGACCTTTTTGGTTTAATAATTTTGATTCTCCTGGCCATCTTTCTCCCTAAACACACTAAACTTCCACTGAAGTTACTGAAGGCCACAGAGGGGAGAAACACAGCTGGGAGAAATCTGGCTGGATATTCTGCCCATTGGCCAAGGTCATTATTATTTCCTTGACTAGTGTCTGGTTTGAAGGTTGGAAACCAGTTGGTTATATAACTTGCATCCAGTGTCCCAAAACCACCAACTTTTGTTGTTATTAGTTTACATGTTTGTACAAATGAAGAGATAGAGTCTTCATTAACTTACACAGTGCTGCTCTGAAGACATTTGAAAGATTCAAGAGTAGAAAGTGTCTATATATTTAGTTAAAAAAAGAGTCAAGCCTATTTTTTTTCTATCAACTATGGCAAATGCATTTTTCCATTTGAGGCTCCAGTCAGTGGTATATGTGCTGCTGAAGCAAACACTAGGCTCCAGTCAGTGGTATACAAAGTGTATTTAGAGTTACAAAAATGGTTATATTTTCTCTACTCTGTATTGATTAGATTGTTTCAATGAGATCAAAGTCATATATATGTTAGGTGGTATATTTCCTTAGCCTTTTTTAAGAATGGATAAGTATTTCAAATTGTTTCACTCAAGATCTGTGATATAAACTGAGCCACTCATCCCATGCTAGCCAAGAATGTGAATGATAACTGAGTAAGTTATCCTTTTCCAAGATTCTTATACCCCCTTCTTAAACTGTCACAGTATTTTCTCTCCATTTAGAACAAAACAAAACAGATTTTTTTTTCATGGCCTTCAAATGAGGAAGCTTTCCTCACGAAAGCATCTGGCTTTCTTGGACCAAAACTAAATCATGAACCTTAAGCTGGAAAGTAAATTTGGGAAAGTTTGTATATAAAGACATTTCATGCACCAAAGTATGATATAAAAATAGTTACATCTTTCAACGTGTACATTCTCAAATGTTTAGCAATAAAAACATATCAACTTATCCCTACTTGAAAAAAGAAATTTAAACCATGAAAGATTCCATTTAGCCTCATTTCCGTACAAAACATAACACATCTAATTTAAGGCTAGGAGAAATGCTTACATCTAGAAGCAGAACGTTAGATTCCAAGCCCTTAAACAAATTTCAGAGACCCATGCTTTTTATTAATAACACTATTAACCAGTCTGCTCTACTCTGTTGTAACCTACAAGTTCTAGCCTCCTGCCATCTCAGCTCCTTCTGCCCTATCCCTACAGCCCACCTAAACCCACTCCTAAGCAATGTCCCTCAGTCTTCTACAAGGTCAGTTCCAACTGTTGACCTCTGAAGTTAAGTGAGCATATATAACCCACAATGAATTGCGGAAGGTCTGGGGTATGTAGTACCTTCTCCCTCCCGCCCCCCAACATTCCATTAGAAAAGAATATAAACTACTGTCATGGGAAACCCTAGAAATACTTTGGTGTCACCCACACTATCTATCTTCCTTGCTTTGCAGAGCTTGCTTCAGGTAGTACAAAGCCTTGTGACTTTTGTGGATATGAAATTGCAGCCTTGCTCTCTGCAGGAATATACTGGATTTGAAAATCAGCACTATGTTAGTTTCCTTTCAGGAAGGTGATTGTCTCTATATAAACCGATGACCTCTACTTTTCAAAACGTAGAACCTCATGCCTTTGAGCATATAAACAGGAACGTGAAGGAAAAAATGCTACTCTATTAAAAATAACTCCATAAAATATTTATCACCTATAATTCTAACAATAATGTGCTATGTTTTAAGGACTTGAAATTGCACAAATCCCATTCCCTAGAATAAATGTTCCATTTTTCTCAAACTGGCAGATGCTGGACCTTCATGCCCAGATTCTCCATAGATCCCCACACTTTGACATCCTCTCATTTTTCATTCTTCAGTAAAAGCATTTTGACTGGCAATATTTAAATAAAAACAGACGTTATAATTTATCCTTAAGTACTGGAGCTCTGTTCATCTTAGCTGTATTCTTCACTGGAAATAAAAGATCAGAATACTGGCTTGAAGCAATATTTTTAAACAAAATTAGTGGATATTAAACTACCAACAGTTCAGATGTTATAATTTAAAAGTTAAAAAATATTCTGAGGGAAAAAAGGATAATATTATATGCTCATTAGTTAGTCACTAATTGACAGTCTCCTTTAAATTCTGATTTAATATTTTCTTAGAATTATCCTTGTTTTTTTAAACAAGGACAAGCCTGATTTTTATAGTATCGGGTTTTCCATCAAATTATAGTTTCCTTTTATTTTTCCTTTGACATTTTCAATTTAGAGTCAGGTGTATTTTAGAGTCACATGAAGCTACCAAGAATTCAAATGGCTTTAAAAAGCCCCAAACATTTGGCCAATAGTGTGAAAACTAATCCTTAAAGATAACTCCTTCCTCTTTGTTCTTGAAATACTATATTTCAATTGGAAATATGCCTCCTCTCCAAGTGCCTCACTCTCTCATTTCTTTCTCTGGGATCCACAGTCATTTCCTCAAGGATCCTGGGAAACAATTTGATGGCCTTTCTCTGGATCAGCCTGTGGAATGGAGCCACACTGGCTAGTCGTGTGCATATATTACAAGACATCAGTGTAGTGGCAACATCAAGGATGAGATTAGTATTCAAAACACTGCTCATTTTTCTCATTAGGTACACTAGTGTGTTAGCCAGGTGTGAAAGTCTTTTCTAAGTAAATAAGTTGGCTCTCTTCCTCATCGTGTGATATTGCACAGCTACTATTTTAATGTAGTATTTATTTTTTTAAAGATTTATTTATGCATTCAAGAACTGGGGTATAGGCCAGAGGTATGGGCGATGAGAGGATTCATCAGAGACAGAGCTGGAAGCAGAACAGGAAGACTGAGTGAAATACACTGCTGAGGGGAGCAGCAGGCGAGACAGGAGAGGTCTGCTGCACCATGTGGGTTGCTCCGTGGCCAGGCGGGGATCGAA